ACACACGCACACACACACACATAGACACACGCATACACGCACACAGGGGCACACACACATACACAGACGGACTGACACACACACACACAAGTGACACGCACACACACACACACACACACACACACACACACACACACACACACGTACACACACACACACACACCGCCGCGCTCCCCCGCCCCCCCTTGGGACGACCACCGACACTCCCCAGGCTCTTTGAAACCCCACCCACGACAGGTACCGTCCGGGCGAAACCCATTCGCAGGCCTCGAGAACACGTTCTCGCGAACGTGTTCTCGACCCATTCGCACGAACGAGAAGGCCCACGAACACAAGTGCTACACAGGTGCTCACACGTAACACACACACACACACACACACACACACACACACACACACACACACACACATGTATGTTCTACGTGTTTACAAAAGAAGAGAAAAAGGTATTCTCTGCTACTGAGCACTTTACATCTACGTTGACTGTTCTCCGGACCAAATGTGATCGGGCCGATGAAACATTCTGGATGCATCTTGACCATTACCACATTGAGTTAGATTTGCTGTCTTTTTTTTTTTTTTCCCTCCGTTCCTCTCCAGTCTGTCGCGGGTTCTGCTACACACCCTTCCCCTTCGGCTCCACTACTCTGCTCCACTCTACTCTACTCTACGCTTCCCTACTCCACTCCACTCCACTCTACTCCACTCTACTCCACTCTGCTGAACTCCACTCTACTCTACTCTCCTCCACTCCTCTCTGCTTCACTCCACTCTCCTCCACTACACTTCACTCTATTCCACTCTACTCCACTCTACTTCACGCCGCTCTACTTTACTCCACTCCACTTCACTCCACTCGACTTGACTCTACTCGCCACTCTACTCCACTCCACTCCAGTCCACTCTACACCACTTTATTCGACTCTACTCAACTCCACTCTACTCCACTCCGCTCTACTCCACTCCAATATATTCCACTCGACTCTACTCTACTTTACTTTACGCTCATACACTTTATGCTTCCCTGTTTCTCTCTACCCTACTCTTCTCTACTCTTCTCTTCCCCACGCTTCTCTTTCGTACACTTCTTTTCCCCACTCTTCTCTAATCAATGTTTTTCTACTCTACGTTTTCATGCGCTTCTCTTCCCTACTTTTCTCTATTGTACATTTCCTTACTCTACTCCACTCGACTCTACTCTACTCTACTTTACGCTCCTACGCTGGGTTTCCCTGTTCCTCTCTACTCTACTTTTCTCTACGCTTCTCTTCCGTACACTTTTTTTCCTTACTCCTCTACTCAACGTTTTTCTACTCAACGTTTTTCTACTCTACGTTTCCCTGCTCTTCTCTTCCCTACGCTTCTCTTCCCTACTCTTCTCTATTGTACGCTTCCTTACTCTACGCTTCCGTGCTCTGTCCTACTCTGCTCTGCTCTTCCCTGCTATGCTCTTCTCTACACTATTCTGCTCTGCTTTCCTTTGATTTTCTCTTCTTTGCTCCACTGTACTCCATTCTCCTCTACTCTACTTCACTCGCTTCCACTCCATTCGCCCACACTCTTCTCCACTTCACTCCACTTCACTGTACTACACTCCACTCCATTATACTCTACTCCACTTTACTCCACTCTACTCCACTCCACTTCACTCTACTCCATTCCACTCCACTCCACTCCACTTCACTCTACTCCATTCCACTCCACTC